GCTCTCCAAATGCTGAAGCCAGAGCAGACAGAAAAGAAGGCTGTGTTATCAGACTGGTGGTGCCACAAGGCAGGTAGCCGTAGAAAGGGTGGCACTTAGTGCATCTCTATCACTGGCAGGGAAAGGCACATGGCACGGGTTAGGAGTTCAAAGGTCTGCAAAGGCCTGCTAATCCCATCCCTATTCATAGCTGAGCCGGCAAAGCCCAAGTCTAGTTCTTTATTCCTGTACCTTAACATTTTCATTCCCATTAAATCTCTTTTAATTTGCTATGCATCAGACTCGGGATGAAATCGTTTTGTTGACTCTTTTCATGAAGATAAAACTAGACCATCATAAAAAGTTATTTAAAAAATGAAAAAAAACAAAAAACTAGACCAGTGGTTTTTGACTTTTTCTGCCTCTAGACTACTCACATGGGGCATCTCCCTCGTATTTACATCTCTCTTTACACATAATTACTTTTAATTGGCTGGTAGTGTGTGATGGGGAATTCCTTATCAAATCTGGGGGAGCATCTGGTTAGTTAACAAAAGCTAGTTATATTGCCCCAAACACCTTGGCCAAGCCCCTCCTTAGGTTTGGATCCTGGATTGAGTTTCTGGAGGGCAGGCTGTCTCTAACACACACCCCACCCTCAACCAGAGGCCACGCTTCATAAGTGTTTCTTGAGTAAATTATAGATTTTGATGGAGAAACAGAGCAAGAAGATGGAAGGGACCTAGAGGTTTGGATGAAACAACCAACAAGGAGGGAAAATGTCAATGACTTCTCATCTTGACATAGGACCGCTTGTGGGGAGACAGTGTTTCACACAACCAAAATCAAACCCATCTATTCCCACTCATAGCAGCCCCACAGGACAGACTAGAAACTGCTGCATAAGGTTCCCGGGGATGTGGAATTTGTGGAAGCTGACTGCCACATCTTTCTCCTAGACGGTGGCTGCTGGGCTAGAACTTTGAACTTCCAGTTAGCAGCCGGACACTGGACTGCTGTGCCACCAGGCCCTTGAATAAAAAGAGCAGCAGCATCTAACTCTCAGCAAGAGGTCACTGTGTACCTGGCACCATGCTAAGCACTGTAGATGCATAATCTCCTAGAAGACTGCTTATAGCATCCTATGAGGTAGGTACCATCATCATTCCCATTTTATAGATGAGAAAACTGAGGCTCAGAGAGGTCAGGTAGCTTGCCCACAGTCGCATGAGCTGAGAAATAGAACAATTTCAAATCCAAGCAATTTGACTCCAGAGGTACATCATCAATGGGATCAATGAAATGAAATGCCAACACTGCTGTCACATCCTTAGCATGGCTTTTTCTCCCCTCCCCCAGGCATGCCACCCCTCCCCCATCTGGGCTCCTCGCCAAAGGTTTCCCGACAGAGCTAAAGCTCTTCACCATGCCTTTCCTCCAACCTCAACTCCATGTTCAGAACTCATCGATGCCCCTTTCAAAGGGGTCTCCCTGGATACCCTCCCCTTGCCTCCAGGTAATTGAAGACCCATTAAATTGGTGCAACAGGAGTGAGAATTTTCTAAACACTCACAGAGACCTCTCACCTTTAAGAAATGTCCCTTGACAGCCAATCCCCCTCCCACCCCCAGCAATCTCAGACTCCTCACAGCTATCTCTGGTGAGTCTTTCTCCCACATCCCATAAGCCAGATCTCTGTTCTCTTGAGCACCTTCCCCACCCCCACCACCACAACCCCAAAGCCTCCCTGCCATCTCCTTGTTCACTTATGTATCCCAGCAGCTAGTTTTCCACCATGGATAATAACTAGCTAGTGGGAGGGCCTGAGACCAGGGGTCCAAAGACCAACCTGTTCCTACTCTCAAGAAAGCACTTGGTAGAGGCTGTACTTCCAGCACCAGGCCCGATTTCCATGGTGACACCCCTGGGGATAGTTGTCATGGCAATCCTGGAGAGACACTGGCCACAGCAAACACTGCTGCCCCTCTCCAATTGTCTTTCAAAAGGCTCCCCAAAGCTTTCGTTATCAAAATAATCCTGGGCTACCCCAATTATACTGACTCTACTCCAATAACCCAGCAGGCCTCCACCTAGCCTTTTCCTAGTGAGGTACTTGATTGTATTAGTTGTTTTGTTTTTTGTTTTTAACTTTCTGAAGAACTCATTTAACGATAAGGAGATGGAGGTTGGTGGCATGTTGTGGACACGTGAATGAAGGTGTGTGTGTGTGTCTGCGCTTGTTTTTCCACACTGTCATCCTTTTCATATCTGTTCTCCACTTAGAGGGCCTGGTACAGATTCAATAGCTCCAACGACAGGGACACCCTGCCCACCAAGGCAGAGGAAGCACAACAGAGTCACACAAATGCATCCAGTGGCAGAGGCACACTGGGATTCTGAGTGACACAAAGAGCAACACAATACAACATCCCTCTACCATGACGCAGCCCACTAACTTTTGACAAGCCCTATCCCCCAGGTTCCTGGAACTGGCAGGTGCAGGGGGCAGAATAGGGGAGGGGCAAGGTTCACAAAGCCTCTTCTCCTACTCAGCGCCAAGCAAAACAAAGCCCACAACCATCAGAGGCTCTGAAGGCCAGAGCTAGCCGCAGTACTGCAGAAGCAAACCGCGGTGATTACTGGAAGGAGCAGGAGCAGTTGGGTCTAGAAAGATATCATCACCCACCTTCATTTTCACCTCACCTGCCAGCTTCCTCCATGAATTCCTCATACAGTTCCCAGGCCCTGGACGCCAAGGGGAGAGGAGAGGAGGAAAGAGGAAAGGGGCTAGGAGGGTCCCTAGTTGCGACCCTCAGAGATTTCCTCAAAATCATTTCTCCTACCATTCACATTCTCCTGGATGAGCAAAGGCTATTAAGGCTGGGAAGGCAAGCTCCCAGGATGCTGCCTGAGACAAAATGGCCCCTCGGAAGCTTGGATCTCGGAGTGAGAGATTGACAAGGAGGGCTAGTGGGAGGGAAGAGGCAAAGGAAGACAAAGGAGTGGCCCTTCAAACATGGGGCAAAATAGAGAAGGAAGTACCAGCTGTGGAGCTGAGAGAAGATTTGAATTGACAGCCCCCCACCTCGCTTCCTCTCTCACCTCCCACAGTGACTCTCCTGTCTAGCTGGGCTAACTGGACAACTCCCACCACAGGGCCTTCTCCCAGTTTCAGCCCTGCCCCAGACCCAGCACATCGGACAGCCCCAGAGGGCCTAAGGGAGTTGGTTCAGACTTACCTGAAATGCCTTCTGGAGCTAGTTTTAGAAGTAGAAAGATTTCCTGGGGGGGGTTTTGTGGGGTGATATGTTCCCCCATAAGCACCCCTTGCCTGCTTCTCAGCCTTCAGGTGGGGCAGGGGGCTCAAGTTCCAACTCTCATAGTTACCAGTAATCCTCAAATACAAAGACCCCCCCAGGGTTGGTCTAGGTATTTGTTTAACCCAGCCAGAGTGACCAGACAGCAAGGGTCTCAGATGGCAAAGCCTGGGACCAAGAGTTAAAGAGAGACAGAAGTACTTCCTGTGTGGCAAATACGCACAAACACAAACTCACACACGGTTGAAGCATCCACTGGAGTTCGCAGTGTGGATGAGGGTACAGGGTGGTGGCAGAGTCCTCTTTGGGACTCCCCGGGATGGACAGGCAGGTCTCTTTGAAAGACTGCTTCTTCAGAATCTCATTCTCTCACTCGTAGTGCCCAGGCTTCCTCCTCTCCTCCAATCCCGTAACAAGCATCTTTCTAGCCGCCTTGAGTCAAACACACCTCAGAATCACCTCTGACCTTGAGAAGCTTCTTGAATGTGCCCCTCCCTTCCTAAGCAGGGCTCTCCTCCCCTGGCCCACCATCCCTCAAGCCTCCCTGGACTTGATGCCCAGTTCCTCTTACCCCACAGTCTGAGGTCCCTACCAGCCTAGGCCAGACCCAAGGGATGGGGCCTCAGAGTTCCCCTTAACTCATAACATCAATAACAGATAAGGGTTCCCAACAGAAATCTGGGGAGGCTGTGTGATGGAGAGGGAAAAGTCCGAGCTTTGGAGCCACTGATCCACGTTCAGCTCCACGCACTAACTGTGTGACCTTGAGAAAGTCATTTAAGTTCTTTGAGCCTCAACATCCTCATGTGGATAATGGATCCATGAATTCCTACTTCAGAGAGCTGTTTTGAGAAGGAAATGGCAATGACCAACTGACAAACACGGGAGAAATATCATTCCCCTTCTCCAAAGAGCTCTTCCATGCATGAGCAAGGTCGATGATGAAGATGGGATGAAGGTGGCTGGCTACTTTTTATTGGCTCACCAGGAGGAAGTATGAATAAACAAGTACTTATTAGGATCTTGGGGTTAGGGCATTGTTACTTGTTGAAGAAGTGCTGGAGAGTGGTCTTCTTCCTACTGACCTGGGAGGAAATGGGCAGACGTTTATTCCCTAAGGACCCCAATGGTTCCCCCAAACTGGGTGTGGCATCAGTGGATTCCTTTCCCAGAACACCCTTCATGAGCCTTGTCCCCCTCCCCCAAGTTCAGGCTGTAACTAATTCAAGGAATGATGGAGGCCCTGGTCCCAGAGCCCACTTTTACGGCGACCCTGGGCTGCCGGACCTCCTATTACCCCTATCCAGTTCGCCTTCTCCTCCCTTCCAGCGGGGTGGGGGCAGGGGTCCGAGCCAATAACAAAGGGAAGCCATACCTTCTCTGGGGGAGAGGAAAAACGTCAGAAAAACAAGGGACCGACTCTAAGGGGTGGGGACCCTATGGAGAGCAGCAAAGGGGCATTGGAGCCCCGGGGCCCCGGGAAGTAACCCCCTCCCACTCTGCAGTCTGGACCCGGGGCCTGGCCAGGCCACACCCAGCCATCCTGATGCAGGAGAGAGAAGGAGGGGCTGCGGCGGGGAGGATGGAGGATGGAGGATGGAGGATGGAGGATGGAGCTGAGGGGAGGGGAGGAGGTGAAGTGTGACAGGCAGGGGCTCAGGCTCCTGCCCCCTCCTTGAGATCCCTTCCAGGGGCTGCACTCACCCCAATAATGACGCTGTCGTCCCCTTGGAAAATGGGGATGAACTTATCCCCCCGGAGAATTTCCGACTGGTTCAGGGGTCGAAATCGGCAGAGCACCTTGATGCTACATTCGTTGTTGGTCTCCGCCATGGTGGTCGCCGACGTGGGCCTGGGGCACTTCTGGGGCTGCCGGGGGAGTTCTGCTCCGGGGGAGGCGGGCGCTCAGCGGCAGCCGAGGCGGAGGGAAGGAGCTCGGTCCCTGCTGGGGGCGCCGGGGCGCGGACCGGGAGCCGTGCGGGCGCGGGCGCGCGTTCTCTCCTGCGGCACGGGCTGCGGGAGCGAGACCTGGCGGCGAGTGCTCTCCCGGCGCTCTGCCTCTCCGCCCTGCGCTGCAGCGGCGCGCTGCGGGCGTGGGCGGGGCCTCGAGGAGAGTGGGCGGGGCCTCGCCGAGCGGGGCGGGGCCGCGAGGGGCGGGGGCGGGGCCTCCCGCACGGGCTCCCCGAGCTGGAGCACCACCGCCCAGGGTCGACCTTTCTCGCGGCTCGCTTGCTCCGAAGCCCTAGCACTCACCCCTCCCCACTGAAGCTCAGCGGTCCCCTCGCGTCCACCCTTCCCCCGCCAGATCACACGCTGCCTCCCGGAGCCCCGACCCGTTGGTCCCGCCCCCCGACTCCACCCCCTGGAAGCCAATTAAGGAGGTGGGTTTGTCTACCGGAGAAGGTCAACAAGGTTTCTTCCTGAGCAGCCCCCCCGCCACCCCTCCCAGCCCATCCCCTGCACCCATCACCGGCAGTCCTCTTTAAATGGAGAGCACACTTCTCATACTCACTTCCCAACCCTGCCCAACGCACAGCCGCCAGATTCCGCCGCACTTACCTCAAGGACAGCGGCCTTGTGGCCATACTGAGGTGGGTCTCCAGGTCCCATTCTTGAGATCATTCCTGAGTGTTAGGGGGCGGGGGGAGGCTGGCTCCCACCATTCCCTTCTATATCCACAGATGAACCGTACTGTCTCCCTAACCTGTACACCAGGGCCAGATTGAGAGAAACAAATTCCCATCTAGGCTGTGAGAATTAAGCAGCAGGTGAATGTCTCCGTTTGGCCTTCTAAATCTGGCCTGGGATGGAAGCCAGTGGGAGAAAGTTTTGCAAGAGAAAGGGGAGTCAAGGCCTTGATTGGAGTGGTAAGGCCAAAGGAGCTTCTGAGAGGACCACTGGGGCTAACACCTGCATTTGGGCTTCAGGCAGGTTTAGGCACATCTGTGTGTTTCCTGTTCCAGTTACCCCTGGACCTAACACCCAACTCCCTTTCTCAAGCCCTTCCTATCTGCTCCCCTTCCTGTCCCTTCATTGGCAAAGTTAAGCCCAAAGATGCCTTGTCCTTCCTCACTGGTCAGACTACTGCTGCAGGCCCTGGGTAGAACCACCAAGAAGCTGGCCATTGCTTTTTTCCCAGGGTCACAGGACTTGGCTGACCAACAGAGAGTTGGACTGCAGGAGTTGGAGCTCTATGCCCAGGGGAAGAGGTAGGGGAGGTTGATGGAAGATGGGAGGAGGGGATAGAGATCCTGTCAAATGTCTCAGGTCCCATAGACTCTATGGGACAAGGGCGAGAGACTAATGGCCTGGCCAGTCAACAGGCAACCACACAGAACTCATCTGAGGGAGGTTCCTCCTGCCATGCCTACACCTCTAACCTGCCTGCATCCATCTCAGGGGAACTGAGGGGAAATGGTCCAGCAGAAGGAACTGGATGAGAAGGCAGTAGGACTGTGGAGAAAGAGAGGCAGACTTGGAGAGTGTAGATAGAATGACAATGAGTTTCAAACTCAGGAAAACAGGCACCTCTCCAGTCACTGGGTCTGGCACTATTCCAAAATGTTGCCGCATCTTGCAAGCTCCTGAAACCCTGGGAAAGTGACCGACCTCAGGGTCTCAGAAGGTCCAGGGAAACACCTTAGTGAAAAAGTTTGAAAATACTAGTCCCTAGAGGAGCACTGGCTATATACCTCCACCCCTCAAAAAAGAATGAAATTCAAAGCAAAGACGAGAACATAAGGAGACGGGGAAACTAGAGTACGAGAAATTAAACAGCCAGCTCATAAAGAGAATGTTGACATAATGTGAAAAATATACTAATGCCCCCCCCCCACTATCATGATCCCAATTCTACCTTGCAAATAAGGCTAGACCAGAGGTTGTA